TCAACCTTCAGACAATTCATATATCAGCTGTTTGACACTTCTTAATTTTTTAACTAGGTAAAAACAGCTGGATTTTAAGCAATCAAAAAAGAACACAAATGGGATATTCTGTAATTCCTTAGCAATATATTAACTTCACAAAATAATTAAAAATCAAGACACTTGGTATTCTTTAAATGGTGTCTTAATTACCAAATTATTATTTTTTAAAAAAAAGGATATTAAGTAGGTTCTGTAATCACCTTACTTTACTTTTCTTTACTTTGGTTACTTATTAAAAAATCTACCGTATTCCATCTATCAGAAATTGTTTTATTTCTTTGTTTAAAAATATCACACAAAGAATGACTTCCTTTGCTGAATGACTTCCTTTACATGAAAACTACAGAAAAGAGTTCAACAACGTCAAAGCGCTCAAGGGAAGATGAAGAAAAAAAGAACAGTTATGTGAAATACTGAGCATGAAGGCACTGTCCTGGTCAAAAGGCTTTGCTCACCTAACATATTGTAAAAAGGAACTATCTGGAGCTTTCTGATTATAACATTTAAAGGACTCAAGGACAGAAACCTTATTTCACTTTTCACTGAGATTTTGCCTGATGCTTCTCCCAACGAAACTTTAAGGTTGTCTCCACTTACACAAAACAGAAAGAACAGAGACAGACATTCTACTTATTACACTATTTTAAACTCAAATGTAAGATACAATTCTTACACTTAATTTTTAAAAGGTGTACTTTTGGTACAATACTTAAGAAACGGAAGAGGATGACAGTTCGGTGAGACAATACCATGTGACGGCACTGAGGTAACCTGGAAAGCACAAGCTACATCGAAGCGGCAGCCTGCTCAGCATCAGCTGGTTGCATTGCAGGTGGGAATAAAGCCAGTACTGCCATATCTCATGTTTTATTCTGAGAAAAGTGAGATTGGTTTTTTAATGTAAAAACATCTTGATTTTTAAATGGTGGCAACCAATTAAAAATATTTAAAAAAAAACATGATGTGTATTAATACCAGTAATATACTATGAGCTACTCTATACTGTATGTGTGGAAAGGAAGACAAGCAGAATAGTATACGTTGCTCCAGTCTTCACTCCCCTCACTTTTCAATTTGTGGAGTGTGAAAGGCAACGGGGAAGGCGAGATATGGGAGGTACTATACTTGAAAAGGCAGACTCAAATCATTCAGGGAATGACACTGACCAGAAAGAGCGGTAGAGGGAAGGTGCTACAGAGGAAAAATGGGAGACAATTTTGACTCTTCAGACCCATCCTTCCATCAGTAATGGTATTACCCTTGCTGGTACCTGATTTGCTGAGGGCAAAGAAATGGTTTTATCTTGTATGATAAATTTGCTTTAAAAAAGGGAAACAAACAGAGTATGCTAATTTAAGTCAATAAAATATGTATTCTCCTTTACTTTTAAAATGAACACATTAAATTATCAAATACAGTACAGTTAAAGTTTTAAAGGAGAATATTTACCTATTGGATTAAAAACATGCATTTGCATGCCTACAGGAAGTTTTGTTTCCTTCATGTGGATATTTTCCATCTTTCGATCAGTAGTATTATTCAATGTTATCTGTACAGAGACCATCTTATCACCAAAAATGCAAGGCTGTCTTGGAAAGAAATAATGGGCAGCTAGTCCTTTTCCACTCATTCGATGAAGCAGCACATGAGTTTTCATTGGTACAAAGACAGGAGTACTGACCTATTGCACAATGGAAAAAGGAAAAAAAATGAATTAGTGAATATAGTTATTAATTCTCTTAGAAAATTTGCAAAAATTTATGACATCTAACGCCTGTTTTCCCTAAAGTATCGCATAAGCCACAATAACAAATATTAGCAGGACATCACACACATAGATATTAAGTCAGAAATTATATAAAAATGTAATACCTTCAAAACCGTATAAAAATTTTCTGTACTCTGTAGGCACATATCAAAATATTTTGAAAAAAATATATATCTAATAGAATAATCTGTTATACATATTTACTTTTTTTTTTCACATATTCACTTTTTAAAAGCTTATAAACTTGTTAGTTTTTTTCCTAGGTAGACTATATTTGGACATCTTGCTAATTTTCGTATCAGTTTTAATAATTTGTCCGTTGAGTTGTCAGTTGATTTTCTTGGGCTTTTGAATTTTGACATAGTCCCATCTGCCAATAATGAACATCTGGTACCTTCATTTCCAATCGTGACCCCTTTACTTCTTTCACCGTAAACTGAAGACTATGACCTCCTTTAAGGTAGTTTCTTCCTTTGTTTTAATGATTAAAAAGATTGTCCTTTCTCTGAAATCAGGTAACTAACTCTTCACCTACATTTTTTTCTAGCGCTTTCATGGTTCCAATTTTTTAATTCATTTGGAACTGATTCAGGTATACTGACTCCATATTTATTCTTCTCTAAGTACTTAACCAATAGTCTGTTCAAGATTTAATGTTAGCCTTTCCTCAATAATCTTTAAATGCAAACATTCTAATTATTTATGTACTTAGAGGCGTTTTGGACATTGATTGGGCTGTTGATCCAGCACCACACTGTTTTATTTCTTATAGGCCTACAATACAATTCAATTATTTGGCAAAACAAAATGTTCCTCATTCTGTCTCCGCCCCCACCTCCCCAGCCAGTATTTGCTTGGCTAATCATGTGTTTAACCTTCTATTGAACTTTAGACTCTTTTAAATTCTCCCCTCAATCTTGAGTAGAGTCAGAGGCAGCATATTAAATAAACACAGTCCATTCTAAAATCATGTTGTGGCTATCTCTCTACTCAAAGCATTCCATNAAAAAACAAATAACAAAGTGATGTTTTATAGATTTGGAATTTCTGAAGCTTCATCAACTAACCAAGTATGGGAAATAACTACCAATATACAAACAACACTGGTGTTTTTCAGTTGACAACGATAAAACTTAAGACACTCAATAATAAAGTTTTATTCTGTTTGTGATTTCTAAGTCTGGCTGTACATTACAATAATCAGGAATTGTAAACATATGCCTATTTTAGTATAAATATTTATGTACATTATATAAATGGAAATATATTATATTATTTAAATATATATATTATTTAAATAGAAACCATCCACATTTGATTTCCACTTTGCTAAAAGTCTTCAGTGTGTCCGTAGTCATACTGTGCAGCAGCTTTATATTTTGCTTAATTCTGTATACGGATATCTTCTTAGATGTGGCTTATGTTAGCAAACACTGTAATCCAGTAGGCTGTGACTATACTAGGGCTTGTTGGGAGTATGATTTGCCATTTAATGCTAGCCATGACAGAGATGATGATACAGGTGGGACAAAAGAATAATTCAATAAGCTTAATATATCAAGAAGTATGTTTCTATGTTATAAGCTCAGTGAAGATTAGGCATTATAAGAGGGTACTTGTTTGGTGCTAATTAAATGTTACTGGTTTGCTTAGTGGTAAGTTGTTTTTTCCAGTTTGTATTTCATTTGTTTATAAACCTAACATTTACTAGGATGCTACGCCAAGTGCCAGAAGAGTTGCTGCCTAAATCTTTGGCAAACAGACTTATTGTAAATAACTATGCTGATAATTTTTTTGCATACTTTTTAAAGCTATACCTTATTAGTTCACAACTCTGTTAGTTACATTGCTCAAGGCTACTCTTTTAGTGAATGCTTTCTTTCATGCCATAAATACCGAAGGTGCCAAAAAAATGCATACAAGTGGACACTTTGATCTATGTTGCTCAAGCAGTAATTCGCCGTCATCAGAAGTGTCTGGATGCTGATGGTAACCACTTTGAGCACCTCTTGTAATTGCAGAAGTCAAATGTGACTTGTATT